TACCATTACTTTCCAGCTAAAATATAAAAACACGTTCAATGTTATCATCCCTTATATTCAATCAGACATCAAATCTTGTCAACTGTCTTTTTTTTCAGAATGTCTGCAGTAGAAAATAGTACATATAACAAAATTCATTTCTTGTTAATAATTAAACAAATTAAATACCAAAATGTGTTTTTGTGTGATATTCTGTAATTCACAATATTTCTCATCCAAAATAGTTATATAGAGATTCAATTTAAGGTGGTGAAGACTTGCTGAGTTTCTCCATGATGAGCTTATATTCTTTTTCATCTAAATTTTATGACTCAACTAAAGAATGCCACTTTGATAATGATGCAGAAATCCAGTATAAAAATTTTCGGTTTTCATAATTTCAACTTCTTGAGGAGATATATACTTTAGGGGTTTATAGCAAATTCTATTCTAATTTATATTAGGCTAGAGTTCATGATGACATAAACAAATTGGCTGGTAAAATCAATAAAGTTTAAGGAACTATTCTAAAAATCTCCAAAAAATATTAAAAACCCAATAAAATACATCTCACTTCCTGGCATATAGTAAGTGTCATTAAACTTTTTCTAAACGAACAGAGTTGGTTCTTTAGTTGATTGAACACCATTTTTCTGATACCGAATGTTTCATTTGGCATTATTAGCATTACATCAAGGCACTACTGTATCAGTGTTCTTGGTTTCTAATAACTTACATTGCAAACAAAAGTTAAGAGTCCTTTTTAAAATATCTACATACAAAATAAAAACTAGTTTATTAAGAACCCTTGCTTCATTAAAAAGCAAACAAACAAACAAAAATGTCTGACACATTTATCCAGCATGTTGCAAAGTTACACTCCTCCTCTGGTGACTAACAGGAAAGGCCAGTCTCTAATGACAATCCTGGGAGCCGAAGAACGACAGAATGTCCACCAGTCTGAATTCCTTGGTAGAGCGGTGGCCTGTATGCCACTCTGTCACTTCCACCACTTCCTTTCTGCCCACAGGCCTTCACTTGAGTGAGAAAAAAACTTTTATTACATAAAATGACTGAGATTTCTGGGTTTATGAGTTCCAGTAAGCTCTTCCCTGGTTTATTTCTTAAGTCAAAGGTCTTAAGCGTAATGTCAAATATTAGCATCCTATAATCTGATACTGTGGTGAGTTTGTCAAAGAAAAATGAGTTTCACTGCTTTCTTCCTGATCTTCTTTTACTGTTATATTATACAACAGTTTTT